GGCTCTGTCTCAAAAAGAAAAATATATATATATATATATTATTAAATATATAGTATGTATTAATGTGTACATGATCTATGTGTTTACAATTTAATATATATATTAAATATATATATTTGATTTTTAAGGGGTTTTCTCTGTGCCAGAAGATGTTTACCGGTGAGAATCCTCAAGAGAGTCTTAGTCACAGAAAGATGAATATGAATTTAATTTTTAAGAGCACAGGCTCTTGTCAACCAAAAAACACACAGAGATTCTCCAAAGATAATGAATTTATTTGAGAATGAGCAGAAGCACTGCAATGCAGAATGTGCACATTGTGGCAACTGGATCAAAAGAAGGAGCACAGGTAAATTCTATTTTTTTTTTGAGACAGAGTCTCACTTTGTCGCCCTCTGTAGAGTGAGGTGACATCACAGCTCACAGCAATCTCCAGCTCTTGTGCTTAGCTGATTCTTTTGCCTCAGCCTCCCGAGTAGCTGGGACTCCAGGCACCTGCCACAACGCCCGGCTATTTTTTGTTGCAGTTTGGCTGGAGCCAGATTTGAACCTTAGTAATGGGGCCCAGCACCCTACTCACTGAGCCACAGGCACCACCCTGTTTATTTTATTTTTGAGACAGACTCTCAAGCTGTCAACCTGGGCAGAGTGCTGTGGTGTCATAGCTCACAGCAACCTCCAACTCCTGGGCTCAAGCAAGCCTCTTGCCTCAGTTTTTTTTTTCTTTTTATTTTTAGTAGAGACAGGGTCTCACTTTTGCTCAGGCTGATCTTGAACTTGTTAGCTCAAGCAATCCACTGGCCACGCCCTCCCAGAGTGCTAGGACTACAGGTGTGAGCCTCCATGATCAGCCAGGGAAATTCTTTTGAAAAAGAACTGTTTACTGGGCTTACTTCAGGAATTGATGCCAGTTCATTAGCAGAGCAGGGTTTCAGGCAAGTGTTATTATAGACACATCAGGCCAGCTGTCTGGTGAGTCACGTAGCGAGCTGCAGTTTGGAAAGCCTTTGGCAAAGTTCTCATTGCAGGTAGATGGGGGTGAGAGCCCTTCAGAGAGTCCTCGTGATAGCTCTTTTTTTTAATTATTTTGTAGAGACAGAGTCTCAC